AGTTATAAGTGGTTCCTAATGACCTTGCTTTTGCAGTAGTAATCATAATTTTTATTAAACTTTAGTAATTTGTAAAATTTAAATAGTTTTGGAGGGGAGAACGTTAAAACATTTTAAAATTAAATTCCTGAATTATCAAACTAGATAAAAATGTAAAAACTAAACTTACATTCCATCATACTTAAGCTATTTACAATTTTGGTAATGTGGATACTTGATGTTTAGCTAATTGTGACTATGTAAACACTGCTTTGGGATAGATACTTGAAATATGTTGATTTTTAATTCTGTTTTTCTTGGAGTCAATAATAGCCTTTTATTTCCTCCTTTATTTAGCTTTCTATGTTCTTGTCACTGAATTAATCAGCTATTCTCCCAAGTTTTGTGTATCTTTTCAGTGCATTCAGGTATGTACATTAGGTATACATTTTGTCGTCTTTCTGATATTTTTCCTGGGTTTTTATATCTGGACTAGCTCTCTAGACCTCTGCTGATCTTCTTTCACCATCATCCTGTAATTTCTTTTTTTTTTTTCCCCAAGATTGATTTATTTATTTCAAAGGCAGAGTTACAGAGAGGCAGAGACGGAGGGAGGGAGGGAGGGAGAAAGAGAGAGAGAGAAGGAGAGAAAGATGTCTTCCTTCCACTGGTTCACTCACCAGATGGCCGCAATGGCAGGAGCTACGCCGTTCCGAAGCTAGAAGCCTGGAGCTTCTTCTGGGTCTCTTACGCAAGTGCAGTGGCCCCAGGACTTGGCTATTTTCAACTGCTTTCCCAGGCTATAGCAGAGAACCGGATCAAAAGTGGAGTAGCTGGGACTTGAACCAGTGCCCATCTGGGATGCCAGCACTGCAGGTGGTGGCTTTACCTGCTGTGTCACAGCACTGGACCCTGGTAATTTTTTTTGCTTCCCTCTTGTTGGATTCTTTTCCTAGATCCATGTTTTGATTTATTCTCTTGTATTGGTGAAGTGTATCCTCATGTAGTTTGTTCTAACAGTAGTCCTTTTTAAAGGTAAACTTTTTTGATAGCTTGTAAGTTTATTTGAAAAGATGTTTTTTTTTTTCTGCTTTGAAATTTGACTAAAACCTGACTAGATACAGAATTCTGGATTAAAGGTTGGAAAAAATTTGGAAAGAATTAATTGGTGTCTTCCAGATTCTGGTGTTGAAAAAGTCTTATGCATGCTTTTTTTTTTTTTTTTTTTTTTTTTTTGACAGGCAGAGTGGACAGTGAGAGAGAGAGACAGAGAGAAAGGTCTTCCTTTGCCGTTGGTTCACCCTCCAATGGCTGCCATGGCCGGCGCACTGCACCGCACTGATCCGAAGGCAGGAGCCAGGCGCTTCTCCTGGTCTCCCATGGGGTGCAGGGCCCAAGTACTTGGGCCATCCTCCACTGCACTCCCGGGCCACAGCAGAGAGCTGGCCTGGAGGAGGGGCAACCGGGACAGAATGCAGCGCCCCGACCAGGACTAGAACCAAGCGTGCTGGCGCCACAAGGCGGAGGATTAGCCTAGTGAGCCGCGGCACCGGCCAGCTATGCATGCTTTTAAAAGAAGGAAGCTTGTGCAATCTTTTCTTCTGTTTGTGCTTAGGAATTTAAAAATGATGTTCCTAGGCATTTGTTGATTTTCATCATATGTGCTTTAGTTCTTGGGAATTTCTTTTCTTTTTTTTTTAAACTTTTATTTAGTAAATACAAATTTCCAAAGTACAGTTTATGGATTACATAACTTCCCTCCAACCCGCAACCCTCCCATCTCCCGCTCTCTCTCCCATTCCATTCACATCAAGATTCCTTTTCAATTATCTTTATATACAGAAGATCAGTTTAGTATATATTAAGTAAAGACTTCATCAGTTTGCACCCACACAGAACATAAAGTGTAAAATACTGTTTGAGTACTCGTTATAGCATTACTTCACATTGGACAACACATTAAGGACAGAGATCCTACATGAGGAGTAAGTACACAGTGATTCCTGTTGTTGACTTAACAATTTGACACTCTTGTTTATGGCATCAGTAATCTCCCTAGGCTCTAGTCATGAGTTGCCAAGGCTATGGAAGCCTTTTGAGTTCACTGACTTTGATCTTATTCCGACAAGGTCATAGTTAGAGTGAAAGTTCTCTCCTCTCTTCAGAGAAAGGTACCTCCTTCTTTGATAGCCCCGTTCTTTCCACTGGGATCTCACTCGCAGAGATCTTTCATTTAGGGTTTTCTTTTCTTTTTCTTTTTTTTCTTTTTTCTTTTTTTTTTTTTTTTTTTGCCAGAGAGTGTCTTGGCTTTCCATGCCTAAAATACTCTCATGGGCTCTTCAGCTGGATCCGAATGCCTTAAGGGCTGATTCTGAGGCCAGAGTGCTGTTTAGGATATCTGCCATTCTACGAGTCTGCTGTGTATCCTGCTTCCCATGTTGGATCGTTCTCTCTCTTTTTGATTTTATCAGCTAGTATTAGCAGACACTAGTCTTGTTTATGTGATCCCTTTGACTCTTAGACCTATCAGTGTGATCAATTGTGAACTGAAATTGATCACTGGGACTAGTGAGATGGCATTGGTACATGCCACCTTGATGGGATTGTATTGGAATCTCCTGGCACGATTCTATCTCCACCATTTGGGGCAAGTCCGATTGAGCATGTCCCAAATTGCACATCTCCTCCCTCTCTTAGGGAAATTCTTTTCACTTTGGAAATTTTTGAGTTTCAATTCTGAACAGTTTTCTTGAATTGTTTCTAAGATTACCTTTTCTGTGTTCTTTCCCTCTTATCTGAAGCCTGTATTTGGATACTGAACCATTCTGACCTTTTATTTTCTTTTATCATTTTATGTCCTATATTTTTGTTCTAGATTCTGGGGAAAATTTCCATCTTCTTTTTCTATACTTTCTATGATGTTTTCATTTCTGCTATTCTAGTTTAATATCGTAAAGCTCTGTTTTCTCAAAATGGTCATTTTCTGTCAGTATTCTTTTTCTGTCTTTTGAGTATGTCTTTTTTCTATAACATCATTGTGAGTATTGTTATTATTGCTTTTTCTTCTCCCTTCAGAGTCTTTGTTTTGTGTTTTTTCCTCTGTGTTTTAGTATGTATGTTTTATGTTCTCATGTGAAATATCTCACAGTTTTTTCTGACTTCATGTTTTATAGGATAACACTTAACAAAAGCACAGCAGGAGCTTTGACCATGTGGGTGGGGTGTACTGAGTGTAACATTACCTATTTGGAGATCAGGCATTTTCCTTTCAGGGGATATCTAATATCTGTGAGTTTAGGTCTTTTGTTTAAAGTTGGTTAGATTTATCAGAGAAATTACCAGTGTTTTGCCTGGCTTTCACAGTTATAAGGGAAAGAGGCTGAGAGTGGGGTGTGGCATCAGCCCTGGGCATCTTTCATTATGTACACTTTCATTTAATCCTGCTATTTCTGTAGTAATCCATGCCCTCAATTAATACGTTTCCTGATCCAGAGACACTGCTGATAACCTTCTGCAGGGAATGAACCTTCTCTTTTTCCAAAATGGGAGAGGAGGCAATTGCTAGGCTAGAATCAAGGAGAGTTTATGAGATAGTTGCTGTTTAAATGTACTACAGTCTGCCAAAAATATTTAAACTTTTGGGAGCTTAGCTGTTTTAAATTGGGGTATTTGTCAACTTTCTGCAATTGTGGTTTTAGATTAAGCTTCAAATTTCTTTATTTTACTAAGTAAGTTGCCACTGCTTTTGCTGTTATTGTGGTATTAGTTGATTCTCCTCACTTTTTTGAACCATTAAAATCTTGGAACCCCTCAACTTGTCATCCAACATGTGAATTATTTTTCTTCACTTTAATTTTTTTTGGATTTGTTTTATTTATTTGAAAGAGAGAGAGGGAGAGATAGAGAACTTGCATTTGCTGGTTCTCTCCCCAAATAGCTGCAGTGAATCCAGGAGCCAGGAGCCTCATTCAGATGAACCTGGTATGATTTAATCCATTATGCCACAATGCCAGCCCATACTACACTGTTTTCACAATCTGACTTTTGTATCATTTGATTATTTTGGCAGAGTACAAGGACAATGTTCCTTGGGCTATGTGTGAAGACATTCTATTAGTTTTGCTAAAGTTGTTAGTTAATATTCTTAGTTATTATTGGTTATCAAGCTGTGAGTGAGTACCATGTATATTGTATTTTTACTGGACTTGTATTTTATCATTATACTCTTAAAATATTTTCATGATTTTTTCCTACATTGTTTGTGTAAAATATATAGTATTTTATATTTATAAATAGTTCATTTATATTTATTATACCAGCCAACCCCAAAAAATTTATTGGGGCTGGCATTTGGGGATGGTGGATTAACAACTCTAGCTTTCCATGTTGGAGTGCTGGTTCCATTCTCAGTTGCTGTGTGCTGATCTAGCTTGCTGCTAATTCACCTGGGAAGGCAGCAGATGACAGCCCACATGCAGGACCCCTGCCAGCAATGTAGGAGACCTGCATGGAGTTCCTGGCTCCTGGCTTTGGCCTGGCCTAGCCTTGGCTGTTGATGCTATCTGTGGAGTGAACTAGCAGATGGAAGATTCATTTTCTTTTTCTCTGACTCTCCCTGTCGTTCAAAAAAATAAGTAAGTAAATCTTAGAAGAAGTTTATTGGTATTAAAAAAGTTTAGTGTCATTTGTAGTGAAATAAAATGGCTTTTGGTAAAACTTTTTTTTAATGCTTTCAAGTCATCCTGCAAATAGTAAGTTTTGGACTTGACAGAGTTTGTTTCTTTTTTGATTTTTTTTTTCTGTAAAACATTTTTTTCTCCACTTAGAAAAATAGTTCATTTGGAAAATTTCTTTTTTCCATGTTCTATACACATTGGAGATACGTATCTAATTCAGGCTGGTGATTATTTAGATCTTTAGACAAAAACTACTTTTAAACATGGCTAGGTGTTCTCTTACTGTCTTCTTACCTCATTTCAACTTCATTTACTTTTTAACTATGTTTCTTCTACCTTTTCCAGTTTTCTACTCAATTCTCCTTGGTGGAGAAGATGGATGCAAAGCAGGAGGTGTGAGTAGTTCTTTATTCTCTCTGCATCTGTTAATATTACATCATCTTTCTCATGTAATATTCTTGTTTCTTCTTAGTTCATTCTCTATTTATGTAGTTGAGAGGCCTGTTTTTTTTTTTATTTATAAAATTTAGTTTATTCTGATATTCTTAGAGGATTTATAGTATAAGGTTTTGAACATTTTTATGTATATTTCCTTCTTTCTCTTATTTATGTCCTTTTAAAATCTGAAAGCAGAAAACTTGTAGCCCCCTTATTTTGTTCACTAATCCTCTTCATTTATTCAGTCTGCTGATAACTAAGTTCCTAATGTGTGCCAGGCTCTGCAGAATCAAATATTGATACTTTTACTATGAGAGTTCATACTTTTTTTTTTAAAGATTTATTTATTTATTTGAAAATCAGAGTTACAGCAGAGAGAGAGAGTCTTCCATCCGATGGTTCACTCCCCAAATGGTTCACTCTGGAGCTGTGCTGATCCAAAGCCAGGAGCCAGCAGCTTCCTCCAGATCTCCCACATGGGTGCAGGGACCCGAGGACTTGGGCCATCTATACTGCTTTCCCAGGCCGTAGCAGAGAGCTGGATCAGAAGAGGAGCAACTGGGACTAGAACTGGTGCCCATATGGGATACCGGTGTTTCAGGCCAGGGTGTTAACCCACTGTGCCACAGCACCGACCCCGAGAGTTCATTCTTTCAAGAGGAATATCTCCTCTCATTTGTGGTTAGAATTTACATTTAAATAATTAAGAGCTAAGTTTTGGCTTTTTGGTTTCTCATTGATATTGTTGGTAGTATTTCCTTTTGGAGATACATGTGGTATTAGTAGCATCAGGTTTGAGTTCTGGCCATGTGTTTATAATGCTGGATAAATCTCTTAGTCTTTCTGGGTCTTAAAATTTTCAGCTATAAAACATTTTTTTTAAGATTTGATTTACTTATTTGAGAGGTAGAATTACAGACAATGAGAGGGAGAGACAGAAAGGACTTCTATCTGCTGGTTTACTTCCTTAATGGCCACAATGTCCAGAGCTGTGCCCATCTGAAGCCAGGAGCTTCTTCTAGGTCTCAAACACGGGTGCAGAAGCCCAAGTGCTTGGGCCTTCTTCCACTGCTTTCCCAGGCCATAGCAGAGAGCTGGATTGGAAGAGGAGCAGCCAGTTCTAGAACAAGTGTCCATAGGGGATGCCAGTGCCACAGGCAGAGGATTAACCTGCATCACAGTGCCAGCCCCTATAAAATATTTAATAGGGTAGATGTTGTGGCACAGCAGATTAAACTGCTGCCTGCAGTGCTGGAATCCCTTATGGGTAGCTATTCAAGGTCCTGCCTGTTCCACTGCTGATCCAGCTCCATGATAACATGCCTAAGAAAGCAGCAGCAGATGAACCAAGTCCTTGAGGCCCCTACACTCACCTGGCAGACCCAGGTGGGATTCCCGGCTCCTGGCTTCAACCTGGCCCAGCCCTGACCATTGGTAACCTTTGGGGAGTGAACCAACAAATACAAGATTGGTTTTTCTCTCTCTCTCTTTCTCCCCACCCCATCTCTCCTTCTCTGTGTAACTCTGCCTTTGAAATAAATAAATCTTAAAAATAAACTCAGATCAGCAAAAAAAATTTACCCTCTACTTTATCAGATTGAACTGAGAATTGATATGCTAGAAAGGAAATGAGAGAATGTGCATCCATATTTTGTAAAGCTTGTTAAATACATGACGGTAGTACTTATTTTATAAGGATTATAAGAACTGTTTCATAATGATACTTAACTGTTGCAACTGGTAAATATCGAGGACTCTTACTTTTTGGAAGAAGTAAATCACATGGAGCCCAGTAGTATGTAAATTGAGGAGATAAAGCTGGGAGTATAGGGAGGCCAAGGCTCTAGAGTCCTAGGATATAGTACCTGAGAAGAACAAACTACCAAGAAAGAGAAAGATCTCCAGAGGGAGCTTCCTCTAGGCACTGATCTAAGGACTGACCTTCTCAGGTGGGGTAAGAAAATGGAAATTTCCAAAGATCACCAGAGTTTAGAATAGTTCCTGTTCTCTTAATAGAGTGACTACCTCAACATGATAGGACATTGAGAGAATACTAAGAAGGATTTGTGATTGGAAAAATTAGTCTTAGACTAAAATTTGTGTGCTCACACCTGAAACAAAACAAACAAAACCCTCAAAAACAAGATTCAAAAGGGCCAAACTGTTTTCAAGTAGCTGTGTCCCAGCAGAACTCAAGTTTTTATACACACAGACACACACACACACACATATGCAAGTTGAGACCTAAAAGAAGTGTTTAAAAATTAAAGGCAAATTGAAATTCTAGAGGTGAAAACTGTAGTGTGTAAAATAAAAAATATACTAGATGGGACTCAGAACACATAAGATTACTTAAGTTCCCCTCTTTCCCCTTACCTGCAATGGATATGTTCCAAGATTTCTTGTAGATGCCTGAAACCATGGATGCTCTAGAATCCTATATAGAAACACTCCAGTACCACATTGGTTGATCTGATAACCAGCATGGCTGCTAAGTGACAAATGGGTGGGTGGCCTACACAGCCTGCAATTGCTGGATGAAAGGATGAGTCACATCCTTTGTAGAACAGAGTGAGACAGTGCAAGACTTCATATTGTTACTCTGCATAGCATTTAATTTCAAATTTATGTATAATTTATTTCTGAAATTTTCCATTTAATATTTTCAGATTATAGTAACTCAGGTGACTGAAACCACAGAAAACAAAAGACAGATAAGTGTGGCTGCTGTATTTTGATTTAAATGAAGCATATTTAAAAATTTTTTAACGTGGCTACTGGAACATTTAAAATTACACAAATTGGGGCTGGCATTGTGGTGTGGTGGGTAAAGCTGCCACCTGCAGTGTTGGCACCCCATATGGGCACTGGTTCAAGTCCCTGCTGCTCAGTTCCGATCCAGTTCCCTGGTAATAGCCTGGGAAAAGCACTGGAAGATGCCCTTAGTAGTTACCAATGTCTTGCAGAGTTTCCCCAATGTTTTCCTCTTGTAATTTGATGGTATCAGGTTGTGGATTTAGATCCTTAATCCACTGTGAGTTGATTTTTTTGGTAAGGTATAAGGTAGGGTCTTTTTTCATACTTTTAGATGTTGAGATCCAATTTTCCCAGCACCATTTGTTAAAAAGATGTCATTTCTCCAGGGATTGATTTTAGCTCCTTTGTCAAAGATTATTTGGTTGTAGTTGCATGGATTGATTTCTGGGGCTTCTAGTCTGTTCTCTTGGTTTACATGTCTATTTTTGTGCCCGTACCAGGCTGTTTTGATTATGACTGCCATATAGTATGTCTTGAAATCTGGTATTAAGATGCCTCCAAGTTTTGTTTTTGTTGTTTAAGATTGCTTTATCTGTTCGGGGTCTTCTGTTTTCCATATAGATTTTAGCATCTTTTTTTCTAGATCTGAGAATAATACTGCTGGTATTTTGATTGGGATTGTATTGAATCCATAAATTGCTTTTAGTAGTATGACATTTTGGTGGTATTAATTCTTCCAATCCATGAACATGGAAGATTTTTTTCATTTTTTCAGGTCTTCATTTGTTTTCTCTCTTTAATGTTTTGTAGTTTACATTTTACACCTCCTTCAAATTTTAACTCCCTGGTTAAATTTATTCCAAGATATTTACTTTTTTTTTTATAGTTGTGAATGGGACTGATCTTACAAGTTCTTTTCTCAGCTGTGATATTGTCTGTGTATACAGAGGCTATTGATTTTTTTTTTTTTTTTTTTTAAGATTTGGTTATTTGAGAAGTAAAGCTACAGACAGAGAGAGGGAAAGACAGAGAGGAAAGCGTTCATCCTTTCTTTCGGTAACTCCCAAAAATGGCCACAATGGCCAGAGCTGAGCTGAGCAGATCCAAAGTCAGGGGCCAGGAGCTTCTTCTAGGTCTCCCACACGGGTGTAGGAGCCCAAGTACTTGGGTCATTTTCCACTGTTTTCCCAGCCCATCAGCAGAGAGCTGTATCAGAAGTGGAGCAGCCAGGACACAAACCAGCACCCATCTGGGATGCCGACGCCGCAGGTGGAGGCTTACCCTACTACGCCATAGCACCAGCCCCATGTATTGATTTTACATCCTGCAACTTTACCAAATACTCTTAAGAAATCCAATAGTCTCTAGCGGAGTCTTTAGGTTCCCCTATGTATAGAAACATGTCATCTGCAAGCAGAGATAATTTGACTTTGTCCTTTCTACTTTGTATCCCTTTGATTTCTTTTTTTCCCTAATGGCTCTGGCTAAAATTTCCAGAACCATATTGAATAGCAGTTGTGAAAGTTGGGCATCCTTGTCTGTTTCTGGATCTTAGAGAAAATGCTTCCAAATTTTCCCCATTCAATATGATTGATGCTGACTGCGGGTTTGTTGTATATTGCCTTGATTATGTTGAGGAATGTTCCTTCTGTAGCCAATTTGCTTAAAGTTTGATCATGAAAGGATATTGTATTTTATCAAATGCTTTCTCTGCAGCTATTGAGATAATCATACAGTTTTATTCTTAAGTTTATTAATGTGATGTGTCACATTTATTGATTTGCGAATGTTGAACCACCCCTGCATACCAAGGATAAATTCCACTTTGAGTGAATGATCTTTCTGATGTGTTGTTGGTTTTGATTAGCTAATATCTTTTTTTAAAGATTTGTTACAGTGAGAGGTAGAGATAGAGAGATAGAGAGGTGTAGAGAGAGAGAGAGAGAGAGGAGAGAGAGGTAGAGGTAGAGAGAGAGAGGAGAGAGAGAGATGTCTTCCATCCACTGGTTCACTCCCCAGATGGCCGCAAGGGCTGGAGATGCACAGATCAGAAGCCAGGAGCTTCTTCCGAGTCTCCCATGTGGGTGCAGGGGCCCAAGGATTTGGGCCTTCTACTACTTTTCCAGGCCATAGCAGAGAGTTGGATGGGAAGAGGGGCAGCCAGGACTAGAACCTGAGCCCATATGAGATGCTGGTGC